GTACTAATAAAAGTATATTACTTGACCTGTTATATTATCCATTAAAGGCTTTAGAAATGTATTGGTGTTTGTTTCGTAAGGATGCATGTAAGTAGTAAAATAGAATCTTGAATTACAGTATTAATTCGAGATGTTGATTACAAAAGTCACATCTATGCCAGAGATGTACTTTCAATTTACTAACGCAAGTCAGAGGTACTGGTCAAGTGTGCTATTTCCATGATGTTGATTGTCATGGCTGCACACGTCAAACAGCTGTGCTTTTGTATGGAAGTTGTGCACACACAGCGCCCTCTATACCACCATGCGTTCGTCTGCCCCATACTTTCCCTATGTGAAATTTCCTTCTTTTCCTATTCCCTACCTCCCCACCAAATATTGATGATGAATTCTGAATCCCCCTATATATTTCTAGATGAGTAGATTCGTATGTATTTTTTTTGAGAAAAACTGAGAGTTCAAGGTTGGAAGACCTTCCTTTTTTACAGTGGTTTGGTTAACTGATTATGACAAAGCAACCGAGGGCTATGTGTGTAAGGGGAAAGAGATTTCAAAGGGAAACTGTCACGTATCCACAATGTACATGACGAGAACTACGAAAACGCCTATGCAGCCAGCCCATTAGTCCGAACTCGAACTCAGGTCAAACTATCAGTGTTCAGCGACTTTAACATTTGGTCACTGGTGGGCCTAAATGTTAGGGTGAATCATAGCTATAACACTGAATTTACACGATAACAATCAGAAAATAAAAAGAAACTAAAATTTTATTTGCAACCAGAGCACAAAACTTACAGTAGCAAACTAAAGTTTTTGCAGCTTGAAATCTAGCAAAAAATTATTTTCCATCTACCATTTTGCAATGAGAGTAACTACCAATAATTATTTGCAGTATTCAATAAAACTTTTAGGTACTTTTCCGTTTTGCCGGTGCAAGCAATAAAGTCGCCAGTAATGGTACAACCGATGCCAAACGAAATATCTTCGCTGGTAACCTTTTACTTTAACTTTTACATTTTCAAAACAAGTCACAGCCATTCTTATCAGATTTATTGTTTCTTTCAATACTGGCATACAATTACATAGAATTTTTACCACATAGTTCAATTTTATGTCCTAAGGCCGTTCGCGGGCGGTAATTAAGTCAATTAGGATGCAATCATACCGCTCCCCCGATGGCGAAAATATAGAAAAGGAAAAGTCAAGAGTTAATTCATCAGTTCTAGTTAGAATGCACTAGCGAAATAAAGTACTGCGGTTTTACAATATTTCCGAGTAAGCTATACGTATGAATTGAAATAATTCTGGCATTTAAACTTGTATTCCAAATTAAGATTTAACTTGAAATTAATGTAGATAGTTACTCAGAGAATTATATTTTTGTAACGTAGTTTACGTGAGATGAGATCACTTGGGGTCACGTGATATGAACCGGCGAATCAGGATGTTGTACGATGTAAGGATAGTAAGTTTTTAAATTAATGTCCTTTTACAAATTTATTGTCTTTATTTATAGGCTTATTTACAAAAATTTTAAACGACATTAAAATGTTTATAGCTTCAAAATAAAAAATTCTTAGAACTAACATTTGTCAACATTTTTTTTATGTGCATACTATGTGTTTTCACCAATAAATTCTGCTCGGCAAAACGGAAAAGTACCAACTCTTATCTAAACGTGGAAAACTGAAATGAAAAAATGAAACCTTATAATACAAACCGTAATTATGTAGGTTGGCTGAAGCTATTAAAACTTCAAGAAAGTTACTAAATACAAAAAAAAAAAAGTTGCTTTTAAGAATTTTCATCTAAAACTCCCGTTGTATTGTACAAGAAAAATACGAAACGACTAGACTAGAAGAGAAACACGCTAATGTGACAATCAAAATCGTAAAAACAACCTTGTATTTAGCGTAAGTATATTGAAACACTCAATCGATTTCGAGGGCAGCTAAAGGTCTCTCCTCATCAGGAGAAAGAAATACCTAGAAAGAAGAAAAATAAGGGGGAAGGAGTCTCAGAAACAGGTGGTCCTTATCAGCACTGCACGTGGTTATAACCGGATTTTTAATCAGAGTTACACTGGCCGCCTACTTTTACTGAGCCAGGCTATCTGATCAAACACAAAGGACAAGAAAAATTAGCGAAGTTAAAAATAGGGAGCGAGGGGCAACTGCACCTTCACACTCAAAATCTGAACTTCGAATAATGAAAAGCAACCACTGAACGGATTTTTATACCCTCTGGTAGTACCAAATGCGAGGAGGTAACGCCATCTATCGGCAAAAATAACTGAATTAAGATAGTAGAATTTTAAAGGCATTAGGAAGGACTGGATTGGATTTCAAATCATTAACTAAACATGCTAAATCTTTGTGAATATGAAAAGCCTCAAGAAAATCCAATTCACCTATGGAAGAAGCCTTTTGGATAATTTTTGCAGACCCAAAGTCAAAATTATGGTTAAATGTCCAACTATGATACGCTATTGAAGACTTGTTAATTTCGCCTTTTCTAACATAAGATTCATGTTCCTTGATACGAAACTTCAACGCTCTTTTTGTTTGGCCAATATATCTTAAACCACACTGACACGATATACTATAAATTCCCCAAGAATTCAAGACAGAAACGCAATCTTTTAGAATCGAAGGGTGAATTTTATTAATAGGGGAGAAACCGACTTGAAAATTGAATTTCTGGAGAATCCGTGCAACGAAACGACTACCGAATTTGATAAATCTATTTCATAAGACCTCACCATACGTCCTCTTCTGTTCTATAAGGTCGAGTCGTTAAGACTCTGACTAGTACTGAAAGTTCTATGTGGGGTTCGATCCAGGTGAACTGGATGGCTGCTTGGTTAATTTCCGCGGTTTTTCACGTGTTTAACCTGAATACGAGCCATTTTTTTTTTTTTTATTGTTATTGAAAGTCCACCTCGAAAGCATTAAGCATTACTTCCCTTAGACAGATAGTCCTGATGTGTTTTGCCATACACAAGGAGCCTAACCTAACTAACCTAATCTATTCTATAAATCTAATTTCGCTTTTCCTCCAATCATGTTCTGTAAAATTAATTTATATGAAACAGCAAAACCTGATAGAAATAACGATGTTTTGAGGAAAATCTAGAGTAAAATTTCAAATCTATACTTTACGAGAGCAACAAGAGACTATATGGTTTCTCATTTAAAAAAAAAAAAATGTTTTTTACAGAAACCCCACTTCTGACTCAATTGTGCAAATTTACTTCCTGAAACGGTTTGCTAGTGAAAATGAAAGCTAGAGTCAAAATGATCTTTCAGAACCACTTTGACAAAACTCTGAACGAGTCTACCTTAAGTTTTTTTAATAAAATATATATGTTTTTTACTTAAGTTTGTAAAGTTTTTTTAATAAAATATATATGTTTTTTACTTATTTTTAGATGCAAAAAAACTCTAAATATTATAAAAAATCTTAACTTTTTAGAATAAAATATAAGTATTAAAAAATGAAAGAATTTCCATAAAAAAGTAGGTTTTTTAGACATGAAAATCTTAAGTTTTTGGAATAAGATATAAATATTAAAAATTGCATAAAAATGAATGTTTTTGGAATAAAGTATGCGACATCAAATATAATGATATTCTAAAGTTTTTCGAAGTCGTACAAATATTTTTCATCTACCATATCTTCGTAGTTTAATATGTAATTTTCTTGATTGTATTATCAGCAAGTTTTCCATTATCTTTTTTATTAGTACTATTTGAGCTTTGACAGGATCTGAAGTGATAGATTTTAAAAATGATGTGATTTTAACAAGCCTTTCTGTTGAAAAATGTTTGGGGAGGGGAAGAAATTGTAGGCATTACAACTAGCTTATCTATAATTTCTTTTAACAGAAATTACGTTGATAAGTAGGTAAAATTAAAAGTTTCAATCCATATTAAATTCTTAGCGTAGTAGAATATCATTTTGACACTAGAAATTTTATTAGCCCATTCTGTTATTGGTGGTGGTGTTACTTATCTCACTTGTATGACAGTAACATCAGAACAAGCCCACGAATTTTCTCGTGACAAGGAGTGCAAGATTACTCTGTAGTTGACAATAGCCTTGAGCACCATACAGGAGAGAGCACGACTTTGCTTCCGTATATTTAGAATGTCTCCATGCTGCACAGATACTATACATTTACAAACATCCATGCCTTCTTCTGTATTCGAACCCACGCCCTTCGGTACAGCAGTCAATGTCGCTAATCACTATCCCGGTTGGGTGGCGTAGCTCAGTCTAATGCAGTGTAAATAGAAGGAGTTGCTTTGACTAGTAGATTAGTGATTCAACTCTGAATCATTTATTCAACCTGGTTTTGCTTTATACCGATACTGTATGAACTATTTGTACTATTGAACTATGAACTATCAAGCTATTGAACTATGAAACTATTGAACTACTGAACTATAAAATTACGAGTATAAACATAAACTACTTTTTTGTGATATTTTGTTCAAATAAATTTAAATTTTCTCAAGGCAATTTAAGAGCAAAAATTAAATAAATACTTCATTATTATTATTACTCAACTGAACTTAAACCGAAAAAATTTTGGAAAAAAAAAATTGCGACACAGAAAGCTATAACCGAAATTAATTCAATTCTATCTTAATTGCACATCTGTTTAAAAAAACGGTTAATAACAAAATATAACTTACTTAAGAGAAAAGCACCATTTACGATTCGGACACAGTTTTTAAGCTGCAATGAATTTATGGGATAATATTATTTCTGTAAAAAGCCATGCTTACGGATAAAAATAAATATTAACAGAACACTAGTTAAAGGAAATGTGTATAGTCGATCATATACTTATGCGATAGAAATTCAAGCATCAGTGAAGCAATTGTTAAACAGGAGATACTAATATAATTCCTTCATTTTTTTTTCATTTTTATATTGTGTTTTGATATTGATTTCTGAATTATGCTACATAGAGTTAATAAAACAATACTGATTTTTTACAAAATTTTCTTTTATACATTTCCAGAGTCGGAGATCGGATAGTGAACCTATAAGTATGAGTTATTCCGATGCGCCTTTGGATCTTTCCCCCTTGAAACCAACAAAGGACGACAGCGGAATTTCTGTTAATAATGAGAACGGTTACCAGAATCTTAACGGTTCTCCTACAGTTTCCCAAGAAAATGATATTCGAACAAAGGAGAATTTTCCTTCATCAGCCCCTCCTTCTCCAGGAGGAAGAAGTCGTGAGTATTATTTTTTTACGCAAAATATCCATGCAGTTTTGTGATGTACAATTTTAGCTCTCACAGCCAAACAAATACATTACTGCTGTGTTGTATTAGCATTATATAAATATTACGATATGTTTGTTTGGAACCGAAATGACAATTGTACATCTGTTCTGCAGTTGACTTACAAAATACTGAGAATATTGAGAGGATAAAAATATTTTTAAAAAATTAACAATAATTTCAAAATTCTTGAATTCCTTTCTTAGCAACAGTGAAACGCTAAGTAGAATGGAAGCTCACACTATCAACGGCATATAGGAAGATTAAATGCTCACACTATCAACGGAATGGAAGCTCACACTATCAACGGGATCGTGTGAATTTTAACCTTTGTTTGTTCTAATTCCTTCCTCTGCTTCCATAGGTTAAGCAGATAGCCTTCGCATGCTTTGCTACAGTTAAAATAAACCAAACTAAACTTCCATAGGCTATTCCATAGAAACTTAATTAAAACTATTAATTACATATAACTTTTCGAGTCTCCAAACTGCTTACAAAAGGAGGAAAATTTACGAGATTATTTCTCACTTATATGTTAGTATGTAATAATCAAGTTTTTAAATTTATTTATTTGAATTTTATTATTCAAAGCTAGTTCATTTTGCTCTAGCTTGGCAAATGCGCTAAAAAATAAATGCGCCTATGATAAAATCTGCAATAGAATTATATATTTAGGTAATTAATTTAGGTATTTAATGTGTGGAATTTCATAATTTTATGGACCCGAAGACAAACACTATTCCCAATAACTAGAGCTATTACTGCATCCATATTCTTTCCTCTTTCTCGTCTTTAATCTTCTAGCTATAAAATTAGTAATTCCCAATTTCCTTATTTCAAAAGATACACAAACCATGGCTACGAATATGAATCCTTCTTACCCGGACTCTATTTCTAAAGCGGAGCTCGACATAAATACGTGTAATAAAGTCAATTTTTGTAATTAGGTGAAAGTTAAAGAGCTAAACAAATGAGTAATTTAATAGTAAATTACATTACTTAGATTTCAAAATGTAGTTAGCGTTTAGTCTCAGAATCTAAAAGGTCTCTGCTTGGGATGTTCATTACACATCGTGAGAATTTGTTGTATTTCCTACCTTAACGGAAGTGTAATTTTTATGATCTTTTAGTGAACGTTTTTGAAATGAATAAAAACATATTTTTTTTCCTTTTATGGACTCAAACGTAAGGTAAACATTTCAATTTAAAGTTTTTATAAAATTCTGGTCAGAATAGAAAAGTATGCAAATACAAGATCATATGTAAATATCGGCATTATAAGAGTAATTCCTTTCCATGAATTAATCTTAATACTGAAAGGATGATTCTTGAGCGAATTGAAAAAATGTCAAAAGGCAGATGAAACAACAAATCTTGTGAAAGGAGGAAAACTTAATTTGGAGGTACCTCTTTATGCGTAAAAGTACATTCGTCTCGAACCGCCAAAAGGAAGTTTGGAAAAGCAAATATTCGCTTTTATTCCAGCTGGATTTCTGCCATTCACTCGTATGATTTGGTGAACGGATAGGTGTCATGTGTGTCTGAATAAAATGAATGTACTTTACGAATCACGAATCTCAATGCTAATTTCTTCTTAACGTCACGGGGATTTGACTAATTTGGCATGACCGTTAAGCTGGATATACAGTTAGCCGAAGAGAATATGTTATTCTTTTTTCAACTACCTGTAAAATTTTTTATAGTTATCGAATAAAATTTTGACAAATTTAAGTTTAACATAACTTTTTTAATTACGAAGTTATCTACCAGAAATTTGAATATTGCAGTTTTGAATAACTTTCTTTTCATGCGTCAAATTTTATGTGTTAAACAAAAAAACACTGTATCAGTGTGTAGCTCAAACATGTGAGCATAAAGTACTAAAAAACAAACAAAACTTTTAAAGTTCTGATATTTCATGCGAAGCTAGTTTTAATCAGGAAATATCACGCATATATTAATGTCATTTAAATCTTAAGTGTCAATAGTACTGAAAATATAATACAGCAAATAATAATGCCATTTAACTTTTAAAGATGGCTGGCCCACCAGCGGCCGAGCGGTAAAGCCGCTGAACACTGGTAGTTCGGTCTGAGGTTCGAATCCCGCGAACGGGCTGGCTGCATGGGCGTTTTCGTGGTTTTCCCCATGTGTAACGTGTATACGAGCCAGTTTCCCTTAGAAAGTCCTCCACGAAGGCATCCCTCCTCTTAGGCAGATAGCCGTAGTGTGCTTTGCCATAATTAAATACACCAATATTTAAATATGGCTATATGATGTTACTTTTTAAATACATTTACGAGTGATTCGTGAGTATGTTTTTTAATTATTACAAGCCAGTTAACGCTAGCGAAATTCGAAATTTGTAACACCGCGGTGGGCACTAAAAGTAAACGAGAATTAAAAAATAGTACTAAAACTTATGCATAAACATTTCCCGCTTTTGCAAACTTTTAATCTTTTGTCACATGCTATGTGTAGACTATTATGTTTTCCGAAGCAGAAAACACGATAAATCAGCGATGCCTTCGTCGGAATTCGAAGTCACATCTTTTGACTACCAGCCGCACTTGCTACCACTTACACCATAGAGACACTCAGTGAAGAAGTTGGTATTCCCTATATTTTCCTCCATTTAAAAGGTGATTGAAGAGGTAGAAAACCCAAATCCAGTTGCGAAATCCGGATGATGACGGATTATCGTCCACTTCATTTTAGCCACTTCGCTTTGGAAGCAAAAAACACGAAAAATCAGGAGGCCTCTACCAGGATTCAAACGCAATGATGTTCCGTTTGCCAGTTTGACTTGCATCTACTTGCAATACGAAGAAGAAGAAGAAGAAAATTCCTTATTATTATTACATAATATATGCATAAGTATTTGCTTACTGTAATTACAACTGACCGTTCATTTAAACCTATTGTAAAAAACTCAGATTAAAAATCTGAAGATATAACCAATAGATTAGAAAATATTAATTTAACAGATTATTAATTTTTAAGCACGCAAAATTTACGTATGTAAGAACAGAGGGAACTTGTTTACTTCCGAATTTCTATAAGATTGGGATTTAGTAAGTTGCTGCATAAATTTCGTGTGGTATAAAAGCCGATAACCGTCATTTCATCGATTCCTTTTATAAAGTAAATCTTTAAATATTGTGTTTTAATAATGTGTTTCAGAATAGTGTAATTGCTTTAAGTTCCCCTATTTCATATGCGAACAGGGCAAGAGAGTAAAATGTCAACATGAAAGAAGCAGAAAAGTCGGCCATAGAGAAAATCTTTTCAGTCCACCAGTAAAACGCTTTAAATTTACGTAAGAACAGAGGGAACTTGTTTATTCCCGAATTTCTATAAGATTGGGATTTAGTAAGTTGCTGCATAAATTTCGTGTGGTATAAAAGCCGATAACCGTCATTTCATCGATTCCTTTTATAAAGTAAATCTTTAAATATTGTGTTTTAATAATGTGTTTCAGAATAGTGTAATTGCTTTAAGTTCCCCTATTTCATATGCGAACAGGGCAAGAGAGTAAAATGTCAACATGAAAGAAGCAGAAAAGTCGGCCATAGAGAAAATCTTTTCAGTCCACCAGTAAAACGCTTTAAAACCTTCTTAGCAAATGGTCAATTCTTTAATTATCACTATAAAATTATAACTCTTCTGAAACAGTTTAGGATGTCAATGATTCCTCTAAGAATCCAGACTAAGCTGAAAGAACGTTTTTATGTCGAAACAGATGTTAGGAAATTAATGTTAGATGAATAAAATTAAACTAATTAATTAATGAATTAGACGAGTTAATTAGATGAATAAAACAGCAACCAAAATAAACAAATTTTGAAATGGAAATTGTGTGCCCAAATAGCGCGTTGCAGTTGATCAGGTCGCTATTTCGTGGGAGATAAAAGAGTTCTGCTGGCGTAAATTGTCATTCCAAGTTCTATGTATCGTTACCCGAAAGCACAGCTCAGTGATATGAATTTTATTTGTAGCTTTGCAGGTGGAAACGAAGTAGTTGTCTGAAGGAGATACATAGGGAATCGTTCATTGTACCTCTTTTTAATAACAGCTCCACTTTACCCGCAGCCCCGTTTTACCTCCATAGATAAAATGTATGTGTAGCTACGCATACCTCTCGAAAACCATACCAGGAATGGCAATTTACGCCAGCGGAACGCTTTTATCATCCACTCAACCACACCATGTACTATTTGAACTAACAATGACCTCCAGGCATCATTTGCCCGAATAACTGCGATGAAGAGCTTTTAGGTTTTGGTTTGGTTTATTTAAGTATGGCAAAGCACACTAGAGCTATCTTCCTAAGGAAAAGGATGCCTTCGTGAAGGATTTTCTAAGGGAAACTGGCTCGTATACACGTTACACATGGAGAAAACTACGAAAACGCCCATGCAGCCAGCCCGTTCGCGGGATTCGAACCTCGGACCGAACCACCAGTGTTCGCCGATTTTACCGCTCGGCTGCTGGTGGGCGGAGAGCTTTTAGGGGACTACAGAAGGGACAAAGTCATGCAGAAGTAGCCAGTGAGTCCTCCTAATTTTCTAAACACAGATTCGGCATCCAAAAGAGGTTCAGCCAAGGACGGCCAACCACTACGACGAGCGCTGATGACCGATATTTGTTGTTATGCGCACGAAATAATAGAACCTTTGCTCCGACTTACTCAGATCCTTCCTTACTGCAGCCACTGGAAGTTTGGTTTTAACGTCAACAATGCGTAGAAGGCTTCACAAACAAGGTCTGTACTCGCGGCGACCAGCCATTTGCGTGCCGCTGACGTCACGTCGTAGAAGGGAACGTTTGAGTTGGGCACGTCAACATGTCCACTAGACGGCTGATCAATGGAGGGCAGTTCTCTTTACAGATGATACCAGGTTTAGCATTAAAATCGATAGTAAGCGTTATTTAATTTGGAGAGAACCCAG